ATTGCGAAGCGCAGAAATTGCGAAGCAGCAATCCATAGGAACTTCATGCAGCAACAACGGCCAGTCTTAGCCACGTTCTTACGGTACATTCTTCTACTGCAAGAACCGGATCATAGCCGTCGCCGTTACAACAATAACTATTAATGTTCCGAAAGCTACCACGTTTATTGTTTTTAATTCGCTTAGTGGGCGGTGGAGTCCAACTGGGTCCATTCGGCACTGCGGCCACTGATTGGCCTATTGTAGCCTACCCCGAGTGATTATGATGAGGGAGAATTTGATGGAATGAAGACTGGAAGGGGAAACCGAAGTACTCGGAATAAACCCACCCTAGAACCACTTTGTCCACCACAAATCCCACTTGACCAGACCCGTTATCGAACCCGGGCCGCCGCGGTGGGAAGCCAGCGACCAACCGCTTGAGCTATGGCGCGGCCTAAGCTACCACATATTATAATAATTAATTAGTTTTGCCATAAACAAGAAGTGTGTCCATTTCTTGAGGAGCGCTGTGGAAGAACGAAAATTTACGTCATGAATTCGCATCTCAAATTCTGTGAGATTCTTCATCAGTTTATTTCATGAAAACGTGAACGTGAGTGCCGTGATCTGTACTAGAAAGTCCATCTCTTACCTGAGCATGCGCAACATTTCCAGTCTGCCCACCCTTCTCTCTGCAAATACGCGTAAAGTGACAACATTTTTTGGGGTTGTTTAGAACGTAACGGACGGTCGTGTTTCGAATTTGTGCACGTTTATATCTGTCACCTTCTTACCGATCTGATTTCTGCAGAGGTAACAAGGCAGACTTGCATTCGGGAGGTGCATGGTTCACGTCTCAATCATGATACCACCTATCTGCCTGTGGGGGGAAGGGTCGTGGTTTTACGGAGTCCCTCAAAACAAATACCGGAATAGTACTTTAAATAGGCCACGACTGATTTCTTCCAGTTCATTATTCGCTAATAATCCTTACGCTGTGTAGACTGGGATATTGACGGCGTAGAGAAACGAACCACGTACCACATCTATCGCTTTTTTTACTTTACGCTACGTACTCAATGAATATATTGTTTGTCCCATGACTCACAGTAACTCTCAATGTTTTGGCATAAGGAGCGGTGTGTTTATTTTCCTACAGTACAATAACTTTACGTTTTCTTTCTGTCCTGGACGCGGTAGCGTAGTTTGTTGAGGCACTACGCTACAAGTCAGAAGGGCGCGGTTTCGATTCCCGATGAGGTGATCGGATTTTTTCAATTGACCTAATTCTTCCAGTCGCACTATAGCCCTGGGGTCGAATCAGTCTCCAATATAAATGGGTACCAGGAATTTTCCTGGGGGTGTAAGGTGCGGCGGGCGCGTAAGCCTGACAACCTCATCGCCATCTGAGAGCCGGTTGGCGAGAATATGTGGGAGCCTCCCTCGACTTCTCACAAACATATGAGCCCCACGTACCGCTGCGGGGATAACTTTACCTTTTTTTTTGCCCTAGATTTCGTCTTTCCTGTCTGTTCATTATTTGCTTCTTGCATGACTTTCTTGAAATTTTAATAGGCCTAACTGGTCAAAATATAAAAATTACAATTAGACATATCTTGTGGAAAGAATTTGCAGTGTTACAGACAGGAACGAAAGACATCTATTCTGTTAATTGACCTGTAGATAGATGAACACTCTAATATCAGTTCTCCTAATCTGTATGGCTATCTTCACGTCACAACAAACGGACATAGTTAACCCCACCAGTAAATGCAGTACAGTACATGGATTGTTTCTCCTGAAACCTCCAATTTTAACAGCCTTAATGCATCGAATTTCTACTACGTATTATATTGTGCTGCGTGACTTCATGTGAGATTCGCGATGGAGAAGTGGCGTTGGAGTAGGGGTTTCTTCACGTGTCTTCATTTCTCTCCTGCTGACCCTCCTGCTGTTATGTCAGCTTCCCCTGGAGCATGCGGTACTTCTGATCAGACAGCACATTATTATAAGTCTCCTCTCTAAGTTAGGGGTTTCATTCTCGACTCAGATACTCGCTAGTTATAGAATAAGGAAGTGTTTTTCTTATTATTATTTTGCCATTTATTCCCGCATCGTTACATCATATCCAAGGTTATATAAAAATCAGAAGTTAATAACACGTAATTAAACGATTAACAGTTTCTTGTTGTTTCATGCTGCAAAAACAATCAATTTCCTCTTGCCAATATTTATATGTTGGAATGTAGGACTCATGAAAAAACGGAATTTAGACTCGTTCAATAACTTTGCTTTTCGGCAACTGACTTATCTTTGCTTTAATTACACTTTCCGGTTAGCAATTTGGTGTGGCCCTCAGAGGGCCTTCATTTTTAGCATACTGTAATTTCGATTTCGTCATTTTTTGTCTCTCAGCCTGCATTAATTTTTGAACCCAGTAATGCGTATGGTATAAACACACTTATGTCGGCGTATAGGATCTACCCCAAACCCGGATTTATACACTGTTTCAGACAAACACTATCATGCCAGCCGTGAGGACTTCTGACATGGTAACAAAACCAGCGTCACTTAATATTGGGTCCTAAAGTTTTATGTGGTAAGATACATGCTACTTCTGTAGAAGTAATTCTTTTAAGAAGCTAAGATAATATTGCGATATCTTATACTAGCTTTCTGCTAGACGCCACAAGAAAAGAGTCGCTGCGGGTCAGAATAAGCACTTTGGTATGGAGATGTGTTTTGTATCTCATACACACAATTACGAACGTGACAAAGAAGAGAGAATGTGAGGTTATGTGAGGTTATGTCTGATGACTTAAGCCAGCATAGAGGAATTATACTACTGAATATTGTAATTCGCTTGTAAATGTAGAAACGTAAAGCTTTCCCAGTGTGAAAATGTGTAAGTTCCACGTATTCTTAAACTTGGCACTAGATGTAAGGTGAGTGCCCCATTTGACATCTCTGCTACTTCGCATCTGTTACTCATTGGAAGCTGGAAGGCCCCAGAACAGGTCTATACGCAGTAGCGAAAAAGTGTCCCCAGTTACAGCCAAGAATCTGACACCAATTTTACAGCTCGTAGCGTGATCACTATACTGATTCTTACAACTCACTTACATAACCATCATCAATATTTAATTTCTGCTTCTGTCTCTCCATAAAGGAGTTAAATGTCATAAGCTTCTCCCAGAACTTGATATTTTAGAATGCCGTCTTCTGGGATGTGGCACCATGTAGATACAGTGTAAACCGACGTTTCGGAAGAACGTCGGTTTACACTAGATCTACATGGCGCCCCATCCCAGAAGATGGCATTCTTCACAGTCACCGCCGTGAAAACCTCAAACCTTACATGGTTTTATTAAACGTCTCTGTATCACAGTCCGGCAATAATGCAACAATCATTAAAATGTTCACCATTTAATACTAACACAAGAGACGGCCGGCCGGATGGCCGTCTGTGGCCGAAACATTTTGTCTTAGTGTTAAATGGTGAATATTTTAATGATTTTTGTATTATTGATGGACTTGATACACAGAAGTGTAATTAAAGATTCGCAACAGGATGCTGAAATACAGACACACTTGACATAGCAGTTGTATATATACAGGATGGGGCGCAGAAACTTCATTTTTGAAGGCGAATAAAAGAAAAATTATTGCTGATAGACAAAATTTATGTTTAGCTAATGGAAGAACATACTTTAAAGTTTTAAATCATGTAGTTTTAAACAAAATATCTTGAAGGTGGTGGCCACCGTTCTCTATGAATTGATGCAACCGTTTTCTGAAGTTCCCCTCTGCACGTTCCAAAATGTGCACCGAAATCTGGGCTACTTCCTGCCGAATAACATTCTTCAGCTGAAGCAGGTTTGTGGGGCGATGTTTAAAAACCTCTGCCTTGAGGTATCCCCATAAGAATCACAGGGCCTTAGATCAGGTGAGTGCCCTGCCCACGGGATGTCACCTCGAAGCAAGATGAGCCGTCCGGGGAACTTTGCCCTCAAAACTGTCATCGAAGCTCGGGCTGTGTGGGCCGTGGCACCATCCTTTTGGAACCAGACATTTCCTAGATAAGTTTCTTCAAGAGCTGGTTCGAAAAAGTTTTTAATCATGTCCACATACCGCTGTGAATTGACAGTAACTGCATGACTGTCTTCTTCAAAAAAATCAGGGCCAATAACTCCAACTCTCGACAACGCACACAATTCTGTTACCTTATCACTGTGAAGTGGCCTCGCATGGAGCTATCTGGGATTTTTACCACTCCAGTAGAGCATATTCTGCTTGTTGACATATCCGGATAGGTGAAAATGTGCCTCATCACCAAAGAAAACAAGTGCGTCAGGGGGTGAAGTTTCGAATAACGTTTCGCACGCCGTTATTCGGTTCTGGAAATCACGTGGTGATAATTCTTGCACAACAGCCATCTTATAGGGATGGAAATGAAGATGTTCGCGAAGAATTCGGCGCATTGAACGATTGGATATGTCTAGGGCGACTACATGTTTGCGAGCGGAGCGTCTTGGAGATCTCAAAATCGACTGTCGAACTGCCTCCACACTTTCTGGCGTCGTAACGGTCCGTTGTCGTCCTGATGATTTTTTCACCATACTCCCGGTTGTCCCAAAGTTATCTACCCGGTCGGGAACCGGACCTGTGGGCTTAATTCCGGAGTGAGTACTGAACGCACGCTGCACCGCCATGTAGGAATGGTTGTTCGAAAAGTAGGCTTCGACAGCAAACACACGCTGCTCATTCGTCCACCTCATGTTTCCTACTGAGGGGTATTAGACAGAAACTTCTGCGACTGTTGCGTTCGCCGAGCCTATCATCATTATTCTGCGACCTCCCCTCCCTTCACAATGCGTCTTCACAACAAGGAGGTGTCTGCGCCCCATCCTGTATATATTTCTACGGCATTAAGTGTTAGTTAAATGGAGATCATAACCCTTAATGAACGTCAGTAAGGTACACAGGTGAGGGCACTTCTGTGCCACAGAAGCAATTACCTTAGAGCCGAGAGCTGCCTCCCTTGCCAGGAGAACCGCGAGCCCCCGCACCCGACGGCCCGCCCCCAGACTTCGCCGTGCCTCTGAAGTGGATTTGGCTTCTGGCCGAGGGTGGTCATGTACTCCCTTCGCCTGCATCACAGAAGCAAAGTGTCATGCAAAGAGAACCTGGCGTGATAGTAAGCCTGTGATAAGAGAACAGTAATGATAACAGCAACAACAATATTTGGGCCCAAGGAAAGTAAACAGGAGGTTGCGAACTCTGTACCGGTGCTTTCACTGTACTGATGGCGATCAAACAGTATGACAGTATGTCTGTAAGACGAACAGCGTCACTGGGGTTGTCACTGTCAGCGTACCTCACACAAGTGGGCCACGTTCTCGGATTTCATCGTTGACGATTAAGGCCCTTTGATCAGACTCTTGTGATCAGAGGAGATAAAGTCATCCGAAATTTAGTGAAGAATGTTGACAGAACATGGACGATAGTGTATTATGCAAAGGAACCTTTATGAATGGGTGGAGGAATGCAGAAGCGGAAGCATGAAGCATATGGGGCCAGGCCGACGGCGTCTGCAGATTATTTACTGTCGCTACCGTAGCTGAAGTCCAACACATCAGCTGTGGCTTTGTGTACTGCATGCACGAAAAATTCTATTACCCCAAATTTTGTGCAAGGTGTATCCCACAAAGGCTTAGACACGTGAAAGCTGACACGTTTTCAGGCTCTCATGCAATGTTTTTATCGATATCTTGAAGGACTGCCGTAAGAGGGGCTCTAGTGGCGGGCTGTTGCGAATATGGTAGTGGGCCTTTGAGTTCCTTAAAAGACAGGGAATTACTTGACCAGCTGAAGGAATATTAGCTTTTGAAGACGCTCTGTGGAGTTAATAATAATAATAAAATACATAATTTATACCGTCAATTATTTATGGTTATTAAATGTAATATCCATTATATGAGAAAAGTTTTAAATGTTGGAGATGAACATGATGATATAATAGATTGCACAAAATCAGAATTTGAATAAGGTAAAGTAAAGATTGATTTAAAAATAATTTATTTTACTGCGAAAGCAGTAGTTTAATCTGGCAAAAACCCTACACATCGCGTTAAAAAGAACTGTGACCCATATGACCATTGCTAGGCAAGGGCTCGGTAAACATATTCCCGGAATTACGCTCTCGACAATAGAAGGATATCGATTGCTAGGTAACGGGCCTATAAACACGCATTATAGGACAAGAGAAGAAAAGTGTTTCCGTGGGGTCCATGCCGAGGAGTTATAAGACAGTCGAATTTCAAAGCTGTAGCTCTAGGAGTACAGAAGAGTACAAGGAGTATAGGAGTACAACGTATAACGAGAACGAGGCTGGAATATGTCCTAGCAATTTGCGAAATGACTAGATTAGAGACAGTGTTATAATTGGTTGTGATTAAGGGAGGCTGTAAGACAAGGTGCTAATAAATCCAATCATCCAATCCAGAACTCATAATATTGGTCACGGTACTCCAGACACGTGGCAGAACCGTTGTCAGACACAAGAAGTTCTCCTTTCCTAAGCTCTTTGCATTTTACTCCACTCTCTGAACTGTATTGTCTGATACTGTAACTGATTTGCTCTCGCCTTTACAGAGAAGTTCTTGCATAAATAAGGCCAGAGCTTTATAATATAAAAGAGTCAGATAATGTTATTTCGAAACCAGGATACTTGGAGGTAATTTAAAGGCTGAATCAGAATGTAACGTCTTGAAAACCTCTAATTTCAACACGTCTCCCTGCGAATTTAATAGGTCGAGCGATATCTCGAAATCTAATATGCCAATATCCACTCACATATCTTTGTCTGACCCATAGAGAAATAATAGGAAATAGGGCATATATTCGGTTCGATCTGTCTTCTGTACGTCAAAACAGAACAGTACAGTTAAGAATTCTCACGAATGACGTTAAATTCTGTTTTCACGCAATCGGCTCGCTAGAAAATACGTAACTGTTAAGTAAACTGACCAAGTAGAATCTTCCGAATTTTTGTCATCTAGCTTGTATGCATTTCTCCTTGTGAGAGGGGACTGTAATTGTTTCTTGCTTTTGGAACAGGAAATTAAATCCTTTCTTCTCCAGTTTCTACGCTATAACAGCAAAAGTCTGCCATACTTCATGTCTTCTGAAGCACGCGAATTACCACAGAATTAGGCCTTGTTAGTTCCACACCTGGAAGAAAATAGCGTGATCCGTGTGCCTCCAGAAGTGTGTAACGGGGTAGCCGCAGTGGCCTCGACAGGCGAGGATCTCCAGACGTCCCGAGCACTGTCGGTTGGGGCACGGCTTGCCTGAAACAGAAGAACACCAGTTTATAAGTAAAATACGAGTCTGAAGGTCGCACAGCCAATCGAGAAGTTCTCTGTTATTATGGAGTTCAAAGGTTGATCACCATGTTCACTGGACATCAACATGAACTAGTCAATATATTGTGATATGTTGCGCAACGGAGGATATTTTCATGTCCGATTTCTCCTCCATCACCTTTGATATTGAAGAGTTCTATCGTCTCAGATATAATGCCATATAGTCCGTCGAAAATCAACCGACGTTTCGAAGGAACATGTCGCCTTCATACGTGGTCTGACAATAAAGTTCGCGGTAAAAGTGTTACATACCTCATTGCTGAATATCACTGTGGTCGCCTTCAAAGTACTCCCCTTGGGAAGCTGTGCACCGTTTACAGTGCCTAGTTCACCCTTAAGAACAATTTTGGAACTGGTTTTGTGGAATGGCCTTCAGAGGTTCCGTCGTATTACGCCTAATGTCGTCAGTGTCATCGAAATGTCTTGCTTTCAATATTTCCTTTATCTTCGGGAAAGAAAACAGCCATTGGAGGCCATATCCGGGGAACTGAGAGGGTGTTCCAGCACAGTTATTTGTTTACTAGCTAAAATCTCCCTCACAGACACTGCTCTAATTCAAGCTCCGACTTTCTAGCGACGCACACCAAAACATAATCAGACAATAATAGACGCCACTTGGAAAGACACTGCCATAGATCAACAACAACATAGCTGTGAAACGTTTTGGGGCATTATCCATCGTCCTGTCTATTTTCTAAAAAAAAAAACGTGATGTTTATTTTTCAAAGCACAAATTTTCGGAGACTGGATTATGTCCCCGTCCTCAGGTAAAACCCAGTGGATGGAGTTAATCCCCATCTCCGGACCGGAGGGACTAGCTCTCTCTATTGGACCCAACTGAGTAGGTTGTACCTGAGGACGGGGACAGAATCCAGTCTCAGAAACGTTGTGATTTGAAAAAGAAACAGGACTTTTTTTTTAGAAAATAGACAGGACGATGAATAATGTCCAAAAACATAATACTTGTAGCAATGTACCATCGTCACAAACGTTTTAGATCGTAATAGTTGTGAAACGCTAATGTGTCAACATCATGAAACCATAGCGAGGTTTCTGTCCCCTGCTACCCCTGCAAACACACAGTGGCGAGTTCGCGAACTTTATTGTCAGACCTCGTATTCAGGGCCGGAGAACAAGTCCTGCTTGCAAACTGCTTGACGCTGGTTTCGACTTGAAAATGAGAGCAAAGCGTACCTCTGAAACTTCGGTTGATTTTGAGCCTGCTATAAGGCGTTATGTCCTATAAAACAGAACTCTTCATATCCACCGCTGTGAGAACCTCAAATCCTACATAATTTTCATGTCTAGTGGTCAGCGTTCCTGGCTACAGATTCAAAGGTCCGGGTTCTATTCCCGACGCTACCAGATTTTCTGAGAAGTAGTGGGTCTGGAACGGGGTCCACTCAGCCTCGTGAGGATAATTGAGGAGCTATTTCAAGGAAAGAGCGGCTCCGGTCTAGAAAACCGAAATTAATGTCCGTGGGGATTCGTTGCACTGACCATGCGACACCCTCTATCCTTAAAAGTTGGCACTAACTTCGCCGACAAGCGGCAGTAGCTCGGTCGGTATAGTTCGCTTGCGGACTACAGGCCACGGAGTTTGTTTTGTTTTTATTTTGTTATCCACAGATCTAAGACTCTGTTTCTTTCAAGTGGCATCTTCTCTTGCAGTTTTCAATATTTCTTATGTATCTGTTATTTCCCTGAGCTTTCCGCATGTGTCGCCCATCTCGTACGTTCTTATTCCTGTGTACAGGTCAGGCGTTGCTCTGTTATTGGTATGATAAAGTCTGTGTGCTCGTCAGTACGTGGTCCTATGCCGGTGTGGCGGTTTGTTCACACGCCACAAATCAGACATGTAGGCCTACTCGTATGCAGACACAAATAATAAAGCTTCACAAACAGATTACGTCTGCTTTCCCTGCTTTCTGTTCTATCAAACAGTGTACCGTTTATAAAAATCGGGTACAGAACAGAACCATGTATATTCCATACTCGTATAGCAAAATGGCGGCGACCGGATGAGGAAGTTGTCCGTTCGCATGTTTTATCCTTAGAGCCAGTTACTGCGGACTGCAGACACATGTTCACGCTGGTTCCTCACTCTCGGATTTTTCTACCCTGAAGTTGGAGGCGATACGTTCCTCCGAAACGTCGGTTCACACAAGATATACACGGCCTCACATCCCAGAAGATGACATTTTTCATAGTCACCGCCGTGAAAACTTCAAATCTTACACAATTTATTTTATATTCCTCTTTTTCTCAAATTTAATATTGCTTTTCGAAATCCGATAAAATTTCAGTTTGGGTATACTTATAGGACGTTTCTGAAGGTGATAAAGACGGATCTTTCTGCTCTTAACACAACAAGTATCGGTTTATAATGTTCTATTTTACTACGGCGTGTCAAATAGTTGAAGTTAGTGCAATTTCAAATTAAACAGCATTTTAAACTGTCACAGCGTCTTTAAATAACCTACCAGCTGAACGGAATGGACGAAATTGCTAATGGAACGTGTACACAGAATGTCACGTGACATTCATTTAAAGCCAAACTATGGCTCTATATCTGCAATTTTACATGAAAATACCGGATATGTTACTTCTCTTCAGACAGGCGTAGCGCACTGCAGAGACTTCCTTCGGCTGATCAATTAAGTTTCTGTTACGGAACCAGAAAATTCATAATCAGCTCGTCAATTTATTCGGTTCTAAGCCGGTTAAAACAAATTTACATTTTCAGAGCCTGTTTCTCGGGGGTTATTTCACATACGGGTTTAGTTGCAGGCAATGTGTAAGTAAGTAAAGCTGTCCCTGTACCAGGTCGTGAAGGCCCATAGGGTTGTGTGACATTAGGTATTCTACACAGTTCCTAGATACTGCATAGAGTCTCCCCCAAACCTAAGGCAAAGTGTGATACAATTTCTGTTCCTTACACTGCCTGGGTATTTCATACATTGTCAGACTTTTATAACAATGTTTTGAGTGTCAGGTGTGAAGATGGTCCATCGTTCTTGATCTCTGCAATAGATGGAAATGAATAGTAGGCTTCAAGCCCCGGCCGCTTTCCCCCCGGTGAAATCGCTCAGGTACTTTTTGGATAGGAGGTTGTGTGGGGCGCAGAGCCGGTATGGATGCTGCGAAGAGTAGGAAGTGTTGCCTCTGCCAGGAATCAAACTCCGGGCTTCCAACCCGTAGCCTATCGCTACGACTTAGATATCTTGGCTCCTTGTAACTAGTACTGGTAAGTCTGTGGATCTTGTAACAAAACGATTTGCCTCCTGCTTTGCCAGTTCCACAGAAATTGAATTAATACCCGGGCGGTTTGAACCGTTTCAACTTTTCGGTGGCAGTCTCAATGTGGTGAGAACTAGGCTCAGTCTGCCTTATATTGGTTACTGCATATAGACCCAAATTTAACAGCTGAAAGAAGTAGTTAGTTAGTTATTGGAGAGGGTGGGTTTCCCCATGCACTTAGACCTGTATTGGTCCATTGTGCTTCCCTCTATGATTTATACCAGTCTCTATATCCTACCGGTACTGGTGCTTACCATCAGTCCCGCCCAGCCAGCGAGACCGGCTCTACTAGCTGAGAGGTATCTATAGTGCTTCCCCCATCTACCAGAGGTATTAGAGACTGCTGTTGGGCGGGAAACGTCCGTAATTTGGCTCAGTGACCTCCTTAGGAGATATGAGGTTCTTTTACGTGCCGTAAAGCTACGACACGGGACTCACGGCTTAAAGTCCCTCCCAGAGGACTTGTTCCCTGAATTTTTCCGCCCTTAAAAATTCGACGACCTCCGCCGGGTATTTGAACACGCGTACTACGAGTCATGAGGTGGGAACGTTACCTCTAGACTACGGAGGCCGCTTGCTGAAAGAAGTAACACAATGTAACAACTTACGTTCTCTGATTATTAATGTAGATCCCTAAGTTATGTTGCAAGATAGAAAGGGTAATATTTTTCTTGTGGTTAATTAATTCAGCACCACGGTCTGAACACGCATGAGGGAGAGGAAGTGTAATTCCACTATTCATGCCCTCGGCACTAGACAGAGGTAAGCGGTCAGCTTCACGCCCCGGCACCTTTACCAGCAGGCACAGAGCGATTCCCTTTGTAAGGACCAGACATGTACAGTAGTTGTTACGGACGCTCCTCAAGGAGTGTGCTGCCGTACCTTGCTGCTTCTTGCGCGCCTTGTCACAGATGGCCGGTCGCAAGTGCACCTTCTCACCGTTGGGTAGGGCGCAGCGCATGGAGCACACCAGCACCCCCAGACATGACTTCTTGAGAATGTGAACGTTGTGGTTGTTTGTGTTGCGCATCGCCCAGCCAGACGCGTGGCGCTTTGCCTCCTCGCTGGAAGCCGGGTACACTAACCGGCAGTGTCCGTCCGCCCACTCCTCCCACCGGTTGTACTCGCTGACCTGCACAGCGGAAAATGAGTTTCTTACACGTTGGATTTGTGGTTAACATGGCTGTGTCTGTGAATAGTATTACTTTCCTCACAATTGCTGGGTTTGTGGACTTTGTCCATCGTCCTGTATTCTAGAAACTAGTGAACACAACGTTCCGGAAACTGTATTTATTTCCGTCCTCATGTGAGGGGAGGAAGCCACATTCTCTGCTGGGTCTCTTAGAGAGAGCCAACACCAATCGTCCAGTGACTGAGGTTAGCTCTTTCTAAGGGTACCAACAGAGTAGGTAACTTCCGCCCCTCACCTGAGGAATGGAGACATATACAGTTTCCTAAACGTTGTGTTCCTACAATACCGGGCGATGGACAAAGTCCATAAGCCCAGTAATTCCAAGTATTATATAGCATCGTCAGAACCTTTTAGAATCTAGTTAAGACGAGGTTTCGGAAACTGGATCTGTCTCCGTCAAATTTGCGAAACGTTGTGTTATCTAGTTTCTAGAGCGCCGGACGATGGACCGAGTCCAAGAACGCAGTAATTCTGAGTGTTATGCTCCATAGTGAGAGCCCTTGTCGTCTTCTGGAATGAGACGCTGTTTAGGCTGATGAAATTTCTGAGACTCCTCGGAAGAACGCGCTGTCCCCGTATTCGGGATTGAAGATTAAGTGAAGCAGAAAATTCTGTCTATTACTAGCACTTGTGTTGCTGGCTGGACTTGCTTCTCTACCCTGATGATAAAGGTAGCACTCTTTGTAGAAACAGACGGTAAACTTCTATAAGAATACAATGCCTTATCCCAGATGAGGGTACTAATCAAATTTCTTGTGCTAAGTTTAATCTCCCATTCTATATGGAAACCGAAGTTTTATTCACAAGAACTCACTATTGGCCCCAACCTGAGCATATTAACCAAGTTCACAATCCAGCATCCTGTTCATTTAAGGTCTATTTATATAGAAATTTCTCATATTTAGAAAATGGATGGTCTCTAATAGGCCGTTTCGAAGAAAGGGTGAAAATATTAATGAAAAACGAGGTTTCCTAACATGAATCCGTTATCTGCAGGCAGATAATCTGGAGTTAAGAGCTGATAAGTCAGCAAAGTATGCTCCAACAGTCGGCCTGTAGTAGATTCAGGTGAAAGGAAAGAATGCGCAGGGCTACGAGAACTTGCACTGCCGAAGCTCTAGGTTCGTGTCTATGTGGCACCTATTTATTTGCTGTTGTGAGTAGACTGCAATGTTTTGTCTATGTGAGAAAGTAAATTTCCCCGATTGTTAAAGATCCTTAGTTACTCGTATGAGGTTTCAAGTTCTCACGGTTCTGAATGTGATGATTACGTCTTCTGAGATGTGACACCGTGTAGCCTGGTACGTAAGTAAAGATACACGCCACACTACACATGCCAGAAGAACCTGATATTCGTTAAGAATCTTATTTTGGATATCATCTGAATAAAACCGCGATAAGGGTTAGCAAGCCGATTGTGGTTGGCTGGTTCTTGTGGCAACAGGAACGCCAATGCCAGAGTGAAAGAGATAAGTGACCCTCTATAGACCCCATTCTTAGAGTCTATGCACCTTCAAGCCGATCGCAGTGGCCACGCGGTTTAAGGAATGAACTGTCTTCATTAGTTCGAACTCTGAGATCATGGGTTCAAATCCCAATCAAGAAATGGATGTCTGTCTGTATCTATTCTGCATTTGTGTAGGTATCTGCCTTGCGTCGAGCTGATCCCCCGTCCAAGGAGTGATACCGACTCTCTAAGATTAAGAAACTGAAGTGAAATGAAGCTTCTCAGGGATTCCTTATGTTCCCAGTGGGAGCAACAAGAGACAGACAGATAGATAGACAGACACAGATAGATAGATAGATAGATAGATAGATAGATCTTCAAAGGAAAGCTGACGAGATCACATTGCTATCTGTATTCTCTCTTTCAGTTCTTGAATGAATCAACCTTCCTCATAAATCGTGGACCAGCATGGCGGTTACACAAACGTGGCACATAATATGAGGTCCTAGAATCGTGTATATTAATAGATTATCGAATTATATGCAGATTCTGATAAGATATTTTTAGAATGTAGAACAACATGGCAGTCGCTTGTAATGTGGGCCTGTGTTTATAGTTCGGTCTCACGATAACCAATGAACTACTGGGAAATTGAGGATGTGAGCATTTGTGATTATATGTGATGGAACATCTATAAGTTAGTTACCTGCGATTTCTAAATTTGCTCATTAGCTAACAATTATAAATTTTAATTAACAATTATAAATTATAAATAAATGTTTGTGGTTATGCTAGATAAATATAATCTGTAATCAAATAACAAGTTCTTCTAAGCAATAAAATATAATAATAATCTAATAGTACCCTAATCATCATAATAACAACAGTGTTCTTTACATACCATGGGACATGTCTTTTTTGGCTATTTATGCGTTATCTCTGTGTGTGTTTGTCGTTATCTTGGCGTAATATTATATCTACTTCCAAGGGTCGCAACTCTATGTTAAAAATTTTGCCCTTTGAAGAATAAAGATGTCACTTAATTCTCTGAACAACATAAAGTTATGTAAATTGTAAGGGGAAAAAAGGCGATGGATGAAGGAACGACAGAAATGAGTTTATGTTTAAATTCAACGGACTCTGCAATGGTGATGTTGAAGATGATACTACTACTACTACTACTACTACTACTACTACTACTACTACTACTACTGCTGCTGCTGCTGCTGCTACTGTACGAACTTATTTACAACTACTGGCAATAGCAGTTATTCTACCTGGATGCTACCATACGATGTATAACCATGTGTTCCTGAGTCCGGCAATGTGGCAGATGAGTTACTGACTTTTCCGGTTTCACGGGGGTTCATTGCCGATTTTGTTCAATTCTTGGGTCTTTATACGATATAAGTAAAGCAAAGGTATCCCTGTAACAGGCCGTAGAGGCCCATAGGGTTGTGAGATGTTGAGGTTCCCAAATTTTCTAGACGCTCTACGCTACCTCCATCTGAAGGGTCAACTGTGACCCTGCGGATGGATGCAGCATGCACCACCGAAACATCGACAATACCGCTTTTCGATTGTGAAGATGGGCGTATTACGTACCTCCGAAACGTCGGAAATACTGCTTACTGCTCATATCTACATGGTGTAAGAACCTAAGACCTGAATTCACGTTATCAGTAATCCATAACCAAGACTGAATTTCATGTTTCGATTGCAAAAATTATATTGTCTGAATAACATTATGAACGCAAGATTTGTAATGGGAAAGTACTCTTAACTGATATAAACCTTCCCTTAGTAACAGGTTCAAGGTGCTGCGTGGTAAGTCATAGAGACTTCGCTGACAAGAAACACAGAAGTTTCTTTCACCGATTTTCCTAAATAACTGAGGAGTAGAGAGATCGGCGCTTCTGCACGAGCTACACCTTGCAGAACATGGGCAGAGATAAATTTGGTGTTGCCAGTCCGTTGGAATCTTTAAGTTTCTGTTCTTAGAACACTGCATGGCACCGAGACACTCTCTGCAGAATCGCGGTTACAGCAGATCGAAGGCGCGGTACACACGCGAGTTGAGTACGCCATCTTGTGTTACTTTGTGTTCTGCTCTGCAGCAGGATGACTACAGTCTCACTACGACCTCACCCTTGGAATGCTGGTGTCGTTGATGTCCCAGTCCGTGTTCTGGTGTCTAGGGGCAACTGCTGAAGGCGCCAGTCTGCAGTGCGTGTTGCTCATAGCCGGCGGTGAGCCGGAGTCCCTGCTCCTGCGGAAGGAAACCAGTTGTTAGAGTCTGTCTGCCCTAGTCAAATTTGAGACTTTCCAGTCCTTCATTGTGAAACTGCTGCTTTAACGCGAAATCTCTCGGAATGCCTTCCCAGATAAACGTTCATAGCAACCGAGTTGGATGGTTTAGCGGTAATGATGCAGATCCATGTTAAAGGTAGAAATATCAGCCTAACTGCAGATAACATTAACGTTTATTTTCAAAGCTTTCCCAGTATCTCCAGGCAAATGCTGGGTTGATACCTTCATGTACAAGTCTCAACTGAATCCACCCCAACCCTTAGGATCCATGAGAGTTCCATTGAATATCCTAGGGCCTTTTATGAAGTACAGTATCCTAAAGTAGTACACGGCCGTCTCTCTCTACCGGCTACTTACTGGAGTGCAGGAGTGTTCTCAGACATGAGAGGAAAATTATGGGTCAGCCCATTAAAACATTCTCTTCCTTCTAAGTTCCTGCTCACTATTCTTGTTCCATTCTTTTGTCTTGTCTCAGCCTGTCTCGCAAATACTGGAGCGTACCTTTTGACAAACTAGAGTTGCCTGAATCCAAATTCTTACTTACTGTTCACTAAGTTTTCGTGGTTCCTCTCAGTCTCTCCACAAATATCTTAGGACAATATCTTAAAACAGATGGCGATTCGTAATTGTACGTGTATTACTTGACGAATGATCAAGGATTTGTAAGATTTGAGGTTTTCACGGCGGTAACTATGAAGAATGTTGTCTTAGGGATATGGTGTAGTGTATATATTGTGTAAACCGACGTTTCGAAGGAACGTATCGCCTCCTGGTCACACTGGTTCCTTGCTCGCGGATTTTTCTTCTACCCCAATGATGGAGGCGACAAGTTTCCCGAAACGTCGATTTACACAATATCTACACAACACCATATCCCAGGAGACGGCATTCTTCATGATAAAAGCTTGTTTGAAGTAACAGCCTCAGTGGCCGGGGCTGTAGATTACTGGCAGCCGGACACCTAAATCACGGCCCGTCTTTCATTCTTAAATCTAATTTTCCAGTATATTCCTAAATAATCTAGAATATTCCAGAGTGCTGTAGAGAATTATATATCCGGAAATTCCGACCTAACTTCCTATCTCAGCTCTTCTGCAGAATGGGGCCGTTTTCTTACGGTGCTCACTCACTCACCCCAATCTGATCTTACATCAGTACAGGCTCTTTTCAACAGTGGAACGACACAGGACCGCAGGAATTACCTAACAACAAGGGAAAGGAGTCTTATTAACATTAACTAAACTGTTTGCACTAAGACCAGTGCGTTACAATGAATTAGAAATTAAATATTTTTTGCGCTTATCAATTTCATTTCCATAGTGGTCCAACGATATGTAACCTACTGAATTGAGAAATCGTGGTTAAATAAACCCACAGTCCCTTGCACTACCACTGTTTCCATAAGTGGCAATGAAATTCAAGCCCCCCTACTAAACTGGAGGGGATGGCCCCTTTCCATTTATAAATACGACAGGAGGATCAAGATGGCCACTTGACTCCATTGCGTAATTTCACTATTACCTTAACAATGCTAAGATTAGAACCCACGATGTTTATGTATATTTGAAGGCTCTGTATAAATTCATGGCTCTTGGGTTGTAACGATATTCTCAGGATTTTCTTCGCTGTCATGTTTGGTTACGTCAGGATATCGCGATGACACCTACTGAGTAGGCAGAGCCGTCTTGCAGGAACGTTGGATGGGTTGCCTACGTCAGAGGACCGTCTGCGGGATGGGTTCCACCACAGAAAAAGAGGATCGTGACCAAGAGGAATCCCGTCTGGGAAACCGGTTCCTTCCCATTGCTACCCCGTGAATGAGTCGCGCCTTATCTTCCGGCATAAGTGCGTTAGAGGCCGCTGCCGGGTGTCACGGCCCGGACGGTCTGTGCTTTAACAAAGAGGGACACCGATAGTGGGTCGAGTAATATGGATCTATTTACTGAACTCAGAGAAATATACTTAACACGGAGGTAAATAAGTTGCGATGGCCGATTACACGGATGTTAAATGGCAATAAAGTTAAAGTGATCCCTATGAGGAGAGGGGGTAGAGCAACCACATTCCTGACCTCGTAACTAGACGGAGATGGGCGGTCAGCTTCAAGCCTCTGCAGATTTGCAGCTAAGGATAGGCTCCCAATACCCACTGGGACCCACAGCCAGTCTGGACATTATGGAGAAGAGAAAAATCTATTTACCTTGCCGAGAATAGAACCGCGGTTGCCCAGTCCGTAGCATAGTCGTTATACTGACTGAGCTATCCCGGCTCCGAATATGAGATGTAAGTGCTCAAATCGAAGAAGATGAGCCTCTACAGCAGTGGTTCTCAACACTTATGAGACCGCGGCACGGCAAATTCTTTTCTATAAGACAGGGCCGGTACCGGGTCGCGGCCCGGCGGTTATGAGACTGCTCTAGAGCCTTAACGAAGAGGCGGACGTGTAGCGACGAGGGGTTTATTGGAATCAGAGGAAAGCTGCTTCCTGAGCTTCCTCCCCCTTTCACTGATAACTACTGAACAAGCACTGCGACCTCTTTGAAAGTCTGCATACTACGCGGTGCAGTACGGGTTGGACACGTCGTCCAGACCGGCTCAGGGGCCCACCAAACCTCTTACCCAGTGGCTACGGGAGGCGCTTATACCGGGGGAGCTATTCACCTCCAACGTGTGCCGAGGTCAAGAATACATGGCTCCATACATCCACTCCTTCCATCACATTGGCCCCGTTGTATAAGACATGAACCGTCTTAGCCCGCTCGAACACTGGGATCTTGGGTTTGAATCCCACTTGAGGCATGAGTGTGTGTGTGTCATCCCGTGTGTAGGTGGCGACCTTGCGACGGGCTTATCTCCCGTCCTAGGAGCACTACCGACTGTATAAATAACCAATATAAAAATGGATGTTGGAGAGATAGGGTGGGATTGTATTGACTGGATCGATCTGGCTCAGGATAGGGACCAGTGGAGGACTCTTGTGAACACGGTAATGAAATTCATGTTCCATAAAGTGCTGTGAAGTTCTTCAGTAGCTGCACAATTGGCGGCTTTTCAAGGAGGGCTCGGCTCCATGAGTGAGTGAGTGAGACTAATCAGTCTTTCGTACGTACACCGGGTCAGTCCTCGTTACTCCAAAACCTGTTTAAACCTAATTTAACATCGCTCATTATTTAAGAGAAAGAACATTTTGAAGGTCAGTTGGCTCCTTACCATGTGCATGATCACATCAGTAATTCTGAAATATTAAGGAGCTAATAGAATGATCAATGCATTGCCTCAGTTTCTAGCTTAAAGAGGAAACAGGTTCATTAAACCAAGTTACAGAAAGTTAGATCCGGCTTTTTATCGATCACACAATGGCACAGACCTAACAGGAGAGTTCTCGAGATTAACTAGTTTACTGTCTCCACAACAGGGGGGTGCCTTGAAGAGTTACTGTTTTCTGACGTTCATACAGAACCGAAATACGTATCATAGTATTCATATCGTGAAGTCCATTGGCTCCTATCTCCACCTGCCTCATTTCAGCCGTCCTCATAGTAACCAATTCACTAAGATCCATTTTAATATTATCACTCCATCTATGCTTTTCACCTTCAGTTCCACATATTATGGGCGCTTAAGGCTTCATATTCTTGGATAATTTTAAGAAACCTTCAGGAATCGAACTGAGTAACTTTTTGGCATTCTGGTAGAACTACAGTCGACTGTCTGCAGTCACATTCGGCACCGACACAGAACTAGAGAGTACTGCTGTAAGTTCCGTATTATGTCATTTTGTAAACCTGAAGACTTTGTTCTCAGGCGCGTTGTGTTTTACATTTAATTGGACAATGAAGTTTCTTGCTGTTATTAGACAGAAATCTTTAATATGAAATATTACCAGGACTTTCATTGATTGTGTAAGAAGACATAAGGCATTTTTCCACTCATCAAACTTATTTATAATTTTGAAAAGCGCAGTGGCCCTACTGTAGAAAGAAAATCAGAACTTGAAAGACTATATGGAACGGGAAAGAGTGTTTCAAGTCCCTGATACGCACCTCTAGAAGTTTCTGAGTGGCAACAACTGCAAGAGTTATATCTTGCAGGGCTTCTGTTTGAAGTTCTGAACTATGTATAGGGGTATATTTGAACGCATGCGCAGTAGCGAAAGATGTAGCTACTATCAAGTGGAAGGAGAACTTTAATGATGTGTCTTTATTACATTGTCATAAAACCAACTTCGAATTTCAAATTGTGCAATATCGTGTTTCCTTTTTCTTTTAGTCGGGATAGCATAGTAGGCATAGCGACTATCTACAGGGCTGGAAGACCGAGGGGTCGGATTTCGAGTCCCCGTGGGGTCAAAAATTTCTCTTCTCCGCATCGTCCAGACCGGCTTTGGGGCCCACCCAGCCTCCTATCCAATGAGTATCAGGGGCCCTTTCCCCGAGGGGTAAAGCGGCCTGAGTGTGAATCTGACCACTCACCTCCAGCTAGTGCTGAAGTCAAGAAAATATGGATTTATACATCCATTCCACCATACGCCTTCATGGCGTAGTGCCTAATTAGTTAAGCACAGGGCAACTTTTCCTTTTCTTCTTTTTCATTTGTGGCCCTCTTACTCTGTTATAGGGACGTAGGTTAATGTAAGTCATGCTTCTAGGTGGTGTTTTATTTGATTCTCGAGTTATTTAAAGATGATGGTCCAAGTGTTGATATGTAGTGTCAGGAGATGGTATGATCATGTAGAACGTGTAGGCATAGTGAAAGCAGCGTGACGGAATTGTTCATGGCGTGTTTACTGTTATAAAAGTAAAGTAAAGCTATCCCTGTAGCAGGCCGTGAAGGCTCATAAGGCTGTGAGACGTTGAGGGTCCCACATTATCTAGATGATCGGCTCAAAGATGGCGGTAAAGTTGTCAGCCTTACACGCCGGCCGCGCTTTACTCCCCAGAAAAATTATTTATTTAATTCCTGGCACTCATTTCTGTTAGAGGCTGAGTGAACCCCAGGGCCATAGTGCGATCAAGACATTTGTCTGGATAGACCGATGAAAATAATTTCGGACTTCATTAATAATGACCAGTGCCCGTCCTGGTTTGAAACTAGAAAGCCTAGATCTAGCGATCTGAATGCCACTGTTATATTCGGATGGTTGACATGATACAATGATGGACACTCGTTTGTTGTTGAGCGACTGGGTTTAACCTGATGCTAACATTTATAGCGCAGAATGAGGTGTGCATTTGCAGGATTCGGGGTTCTGTCAGCGGCGGTTGCGATGTATAACACTGAACACTGAACATTCTGTTGAAAACCAATAGATGTTTCGGAGAAAAATGTCGCCTCCATATTCAGTATCGAAGTGTAGGGCAAGCTAAAACCAGCATGAAGCTGGTAGCGAACTCTATATAACACAAACAACGTAACCTATAGTTCACACTTCGTTTTTCAAAGTCTTTCGCTCTCATGTCCAACGTAATATTTTCTTGCAATTACGGGTTACTTAACGACGCTCTAAATTGGTAAGACTATAGGAGAGGCAGCCGATCACAGTGACCCCGTGGTCTAACTCATGAACTGTCTTCGCCAGCTAGAACACTGAGATCGTGGGTTCGAATCCCACTCCAGGCATGGATCTCTGTGTGCATTTATTCTGTGCTTGTGGTGTTCCGCCTTGCGACGGACTGATCTCCAGTCATACCAACTGTGAATAGGATCAAGAAACTGAAAAGCGGCCAAGGCCCAACAAAGGGCTGTAGAGCCATAGATACTTAATCGTTACATATTTAAGCACTAATAAGAAGCAAACTCCGTGGTTTTAGTCCGCAAGCAAACTATACCGACCGAGCGACCGCCGCTTGTCAGCGAAGTTAGTGCCAACTTTAGCGGATAGACCGCAACGAATACCCACGGCCGTTAATTTCGGTTTTCTAGACCGGAGCCGCTGCTTCCTTGAAATAGCTCCTCAGTTATCCTCACGAGGCTGAGTAGACCCCGTTCCAGACCCACTACTTCTCATATAATCTGGTAGCGCCGGGAATCGAACCCGTGACCTCTAGATCTGTAGCCAGGAACTCTGACCACTAGACCACAGAGGCGGTCCTATTTAAGCACTAATTCAAAATTTAATATTTACTTTACATAATAACATGGAAGAAATTTGTAACGAAATTAGCATATGCCATATTGGGGCACCGCCGGACACGGTAGCCGAGCGGTCTAAGGCATGCACTGTCTTCGCTCGCTTGGAAACCGCGATCGGGGGTTCGAATCCCACTCAGGGCATGGGTGTGTAGTTTGTGTGTGTGCGTTTTTCTGTGTTTGAGTACAGGTAGAGGCCTTGCGACGAGCTGATCACCCGCCCAAGGAGTCCTACCGAAGGTGTAAGATCTAGAAAAACCGAAGTGAACGGAGAAGTTCATGGAGGTAGGCCTAGGCCCACTGGGTTTGTAGTATTAAGGGAGAAAAAATATTACGGCACCAGGAAATCTTAATGTGAGACAATGAGCCATTTTATTAATTACTATTGCAATTATCTTGTGACAGTGCTTATGAGTTCCGAAGTTGCTCATGGTAAATACAGAATATCATTGTCTAACATAGTGTAAACGAGTTAAAAACACATTCTTACATTAAAGAGTTTAGATGACACTAATAGGGATGCAAGAAAAAGTAGTCCAAATTAATACTACTCATCCTTCTGGCAGCAAGCTTCTACATCAATAGAGGGTCCGCTCTACTGCAGAAGACCGTCTACTTCTTGCACTGTACACTTGAGAACCTGTTCGCAAGGAGTCAGCATCTCTTGGTACGGTTTCTGAGGAGCTGCATGTTTGGGACCGTCCCACATTGGGCACGTTTCCTCTACATAGCTTCGGCCGGGGCCGGTGTTAAGTCGACACGGGTTGCTGATAAGCATGACTGATTAGTATTTTGGGCATTGGCAATCGTCTTGAATCTTTTGAGACACAACCTTTCAGAAACTGGATTCGTTTCCGTCCTCAGTCTCTGCTCAACCGAGTCCGCTAGAGCAGTGGTTCTCAACGGGGGCCATATGGCCCCCCCCCAGTGGGCCAAGCCGTATTTCTGTGGGGCCGCAGACAAAATTTGGAAAAATGGAGGGCCATGGAAACTGTTAAGTGGGCCACAAAATTTTCACTTCTAAAATAAAATTATTAATAATATAAAAAGAAATAAAAATGCCAAAT